TATATATATATATATATATATATATATATATATATATATATATATATATATATATATATATATATATATATATATATATATATATATATGAACTTGTGCCTAGAGCTCAACAACTGGCTTCTGTAGCTCAGTTGGTTAGAGTGCTGCACCGGAATCGCAGGGCCGCAGGTTCGATTCCTGCCAGAGGACCTTGTGCTGCATTTTTCACAACTGCTCCTGGTTAGGTCTTTCCATGTGCAAAACCCTTCTACAAGTGATCAACGTACCTAGATCCTGTAAATCATTGCTAAGCATGTCACCATTACCCGAGGACGGAATACTGCTACCAATATCCAGGTCAATGAGAGACGAGATATTTGATGAAGGTTCACTAGAATTCACCACGTCTGGGGCAGATTGGGTAGTACTTGATGTAGGTGGAGGTACGGTACTTCTAGGTTCCCCAGGGACTCCCATTACACGTCGGTAGTCTTCGATCACCTTCGTCAAGTCGTCGTTTGCTCGTAGAATTTCAGCTGCAGGAACGAGATTCAGTTATCACAAACATAGGATAAAGCCCAAGGAAACTTTGCGGAAACATCGTTTCCAGGTAGGAAATTCTTCCCCAATTGTGGGCAAACCAGGAACATTGTTCCCGCCACAAAACTACTGCACTGGCGGCTTAAACTAGTGCACCACAACCGCAAAGACATGCTACTATTGAATAACTCAGGGTTCGAAATAGCCGCCGGCAGTTTAGGACCTTGCCGGCGATTTTTAATTTCAAAGCATAGGGGATCGGCGAAAATATTTATTCACCGATGACTCGCTTACAATAACACGTACATATACACAGAACTTGTTAATGTTTGTTCCTTCGCCAAATAAAATGTATTGCTGTGTTCTTACAAATGTTGTATTGGTTTACATCACTACAGTTTTATTTGGCCTATGGCTATGCCCACTCCAGAACATAACTAAACTTCACTTGGAAAATAGCCGGCAAAAGTTTTCACCTACAAAAAACAGCCTACAAAATTTGACATATTTTCAGAACGTTATTTCGAACCCTGTAACTACCAAGGCTTACGATTCTGAACAAACTAACAAACAGACTAACAAACTAACAGAAACATCGAGCATTGCAATGGTAATGTGCACTAAATGAAGCTATGGACAAGCAAATGAAATATAATTATAGAACCTTTTAAATAATTATAGAACTTACACAACGAATCATCACCCTCTTCCGTCGCGGTTCCAGCAAGTTTGAAAAGATCTGTTCTCAACTTTTCACAAGAATCGTACAACTCCTAAAGTGAAAAGAAACCAAAGGATGGCTCTGTCAGTTTTACACCGTCCTCACTCGAGGTCCAGTAAGGGCAGCCCAGAATCGTATTGGTTCCGTGTTGCTACATAAAGAATTATGACAGTTTCGCAGTTTCCCTGACTGTGCTAGGGAGGAATTACAAGCTGCGAACAAGATACCCGCGGTGTCGCAGTTGTGAGACCTGGTAAGGAATAACGATCGAACATGACGCCATTTTGAACAGATTTGTGGGGACCTTTTTGGGGGGAATTTAACATGAATTTTCTAAGGATTTCTAAGGATTTTGAGGGATTTATTAGGGACTGCACTAACCAATATCCGCTGATAACTGACCTTCATTAATTCCACGTCGGAGTTCGGTGTACCGGACGAGTAATGTGACAGCATTTCTTTCAAAAGTTTTGTATTGTTCTGTACCATTTCTAGTTCTTGTACACGCAAGCTCAGTTTTTCTTCGCGTATTTCATCCTAAGTAGAATAGAAAAACACAAATGTCTGTATATTCACTTCTTCCATCTTGCGAGCGAAGGTTTGGGACCACCACATAGCTTGCGAGTTGCGACGGGGGAGGGGGGCGGGCCACTGGGGGAAACGTTTTGAGTAATTGGTCGTTTTGAGTAATTGGTCGTAAGAAAGTCAATTTTGGCAAAAGGTAACATAACTCGACGGCTTGACATTTGATAAATAAAATTTGGCCATAGAACAGGAAAATAGTCAAACCACACAAAGTTTGAAAATAGAAAAGAGGATGTGGTAGAAAAGAGACACCCTTTAAATCTGGTCAGTAAATACTGCAAAAAGATACTGGGAAAAACTAAAATTTTCTACTATACTAGTGTGGAGAAGACCTTCTGATCCAGGTTTGCAGTTAGCTTCAATCACTTGCAGGTAATGCTGTTCACTCGGATCCCAACACCCTCAACGTACAGTGGTGTACTCTACCTGTCTGACCATGTTTTTGATCAGTCTGTTTGCAGCTTGAAGATCATCAGGATGTTTACTTGCCAGTAATCTCGCTAAAAGCTTAAAACAATAACAGAATATTTATCAACATGTGGAATAAATAAACGAATGCCACTTGAAAAGCTATATACTATTTATGCTTTCTTTATGCTTGCTTTTCCAACCTTAGATTTTTCGTCATCTTCAAAAACTGCCATTCTTGGCTGAGGTGTTGGCTTGTACTGAAAAAAAAATTTAAAGTGTTAATTGCAATGTAAATATATAATATGTAATATACAATATGTAAACACAAGCAGTCTGAGGAATTGCATTTAAATTGGGTTGTGCCAAAAAATATCCCCCCTCCCCCCACAAAGGAAATTTCTGCTGTCCAGAGGGAAGAGGTAGGTAGGAAGAAGTAGGTAGGGTTAACTTCTAATTCCCTCCATGGCGGGGGTATGGATGTTTTCCGGAATGACCCATTGGGCAATTATTATGTTTGTATTATCATAATATCAACATACTTGTTCAATTTGACTTGGTAAATGTGGATCGACAACAACAACTCCTACAACAAGCAAGAACATCGACTTGAAAAATTTAATATTGGAATAGATGTGGTGGCAGAATGGTTTTATTATTTTTGGGGGGGAGGGCTAATTTTCATTTAAGTTGGGTATCGTAGTTTTCGGCTAAGGGCAAACACGACAGGCAAAACATGATCGAACTGCCATAGCAGTAGCGCGGGGAGATATTTACAGTTAGGAGGGCTGAAAATTGGGGGTGTCCAAGGGCATGCTCCATTCACTTAAAGACATTGCTGCTTTTAAGTACCTTGTCTCTTCAACATTAAATAAGCTTCTTGAATCTTTGGTTCACTCGGTAGTCCCACACTCCAGCTATAGAACAACTCGATGATTTTGTGTTTTACCGGTTGCGAAGTTCTTGGACCATCATACTGCCAAGCGTAAAATTAACCCTTTAAGTCATGCAATGCACCCTGATGTACCCTACTTGCCAAACTGACATTATACTTTTCTAATGTGAATATGGAGAAAATGAAATTTTTACAGGAAAAATTTATGCTCAACCATAAATTTATTTCAATAACATAACATATGCTACTCAAATGTCAAGCTGAAACAGACAACAAAGAGTCATCTAGGCTATCTAGCAAATCACTTGAAATGTCAGCAATATTATCACAGCATCATGTTGTTGAAAATCTAAGTTTGCTGACTTCTTTCATATCAGGTTGACAAAACTTTGACAACAAGATTTTTCGCTAACTCCGCGGCTTGTAGAGGAATGGCTGCTCTTCGATAGGTCTCATATTTTTTATACTTTCCGGTAGTTATATCTCATTTAGACTTGGTTAAAATATGTCTCTAAAGGGGTTGAAAATAAGAGAGAACATAGGGAGAGATGAACTTGGGACATTTGCAAGCAAGCCAAAGTTTACTGACGGATTTTTCCTACGGAGGCATGGTTTGCAAGTCGACAACAACAAATTTCATGCCAATTTTGCAAGTAACATTCGAAATGCTGCAAATGTCCCAAGTCCGTCTCTCCCTATTTTTCTCTTGAGACGGACTTGAACCAAGTCTATATTGCATTCTGCAATGAAGATAACTGACCACATCATAGATAGCTGAGTTTGAGGTCATAATACCTTGTTGGACAGAAGTTTGATCAGCTCATTTAGGAATCGGAATTTTCCAATTTCTTGATGATATTTTTGTCCACAGCTCTTCACACAAGCTTCCAGTACCTAAATAACATGTAACATGTACTTGCAAATGTTGGGACATATGAATAAACCAGGGTCAAAAATGTGCAGTATCCCGATATCCACAGGATACCAAAAATTTGGTTTTGGATATCGAACTGTGAATGACTTGTATCCAGACTGCATATTAATTTAAGAAAATTTCAAACTTTAAGACAATGTTGAACACCTTTGACAGGCTCCAGCTCCTGATAGCTTTTGAATACTATCAGTTTACCACAACTCTTTCCTCATTGAGAACTAGCATATAGAAGTTTGTTGAAGGATTATGTGCATTTTAGTGTATTAATGAATTATTTCGTTGTTGACTGTTGAGTCGCCTGTTATTGTAATTTGTAACAGTGAGAGTTATGGAAACTTATTTGGATGGGGCAGTGTATAATACCTATGGTACCGGTAACCAGTATCCAGAAGTGGGATACTGGATTTAAACTTTGAATCCTGGTATATCCCAGTTGGATAACTTTGAAGGATTTTGTAGATATTTTATGAAGTGACTGCCAACAGCTAATGGCACATTGGAGGACTAAAATTTTTAATCATTATGATCAGTGAAAAGGGGTGGAGG